CCCGGGGTCCTGGTCCCTTGCACTCCCTACCCCACTCCACGCCTGCCTCCTTCCTGCTCGCGCCCCTCGAGTCCCTGCACTTCAGCTTCCTTGCCACCTGCCGCCAGGCCACTCTCACGGGGGCGCTCACGGCCCCCTCCTCCAAGCTGTCTGCGCTTCCCCAGCCCGCGGCGGGAGGGACTGCAGCGCTCCAGGAGCGGCAGTGCACGCGGGGCGGGGAAGAGAGGACTAGCCCGGGTGAGGGTGGGGGTAGGCGAGGGAGGTGGCAGTTCCCCTTCGCTCTCTTCCCTCTCTCCAGGTCTGATTTGGCTGCACCAAACCCAAGGCCGCTTTTATTCCCATACTTAGTTTCAGAAATGCGGCTCCGGGAGAACCGGTGCCTACTGGAACATTGCAGGTGCACTCGGGGCCCGGCGTGAACTGAGAGGGTTTTAAGTTGGAGGGTTCAGAACCAAGCCCCGCAGCCACTGGCGGGAAGAGTTGGGGGTAGGGCAGTGGAACTGGTTCGAGAAATTTTGGCTTTCTTGATTTTCTTTTTCAACATTTGTTTCCTTTGCTGCGGTAGAAGAAAATGAATGTTTTTGAAAATTTGCTGGCCCAAGGATGACAACCCATTTTGCAGGCTATTTCAAAGGGAATAACAGCACCCCCCCCCCTTGGCGCAGAGTTTCTCTACCCTCCTCCCTATGTTTTAATGAAAAAACAGCCTCTGTCCTGAAAGGCCGGGAAGAGCTCTTATGCAGGATTTGCTTAAGTACTGAGTCTAAACTTTCAGAGAGCGAACGAAGAGCCACTCTTTGCGCCCCTAAAGTTACCTAATATGATCGCCCCTCTGCCCAGCAACCTTTGAGAGAAACGGAGGTCTGGCATGACCCAATTCAAATCCCCACGGACTCAGTGATCTAGTCATGGATAAGGGATGGGGCCACACACCCCCACCCAGTGTCTATGGGTAGGGGTGGGAGAGGGCCCTTGCTCCAGATGACAGCATAAAACTGTGTAAACTATTTGTGTTTTTCTTATCTCCTGCCGGAACCGGTTTGGCCTAAGGCAGACGACCGCCACAAAAACACAGGCACCCTCCCCCAGTGTAAGAATACCCTCCTCCAATGCAATAAACAAACACACAAACAAAAAAGTAGGTGGATACAGCGGCGCAGAGTAGCACAATGGCTCAGTGCAAAGCAGTCCCGGACTGTTGGTCCGCAAGCTCCTGGGAGCCGACCCTGAACTCCTCTCTCGGCGGTCTGACGAATCGAATGCGAGACCAGAGCGTAGACGAGTCTGCTGCAATGGCCAGCCGTCAGGCTGCAGAGCGGCCCTTGTCCTCTCAGGGAGGCCGCTTTTCTCTACCCTGCCCTGGTGGAAGCAAACAAGCAACCCGAAAAAGCCCCTCTGTGTTTGCTGTGAATTCAAGTACCACCAGGTGTTCTAGCAGCCAACCCCTCCGCCTAGAAGGGTGATTCCAGGAGGGGAGGAGGTTTAAAAGGGAACCTGGTCGTGTGCGTTTCCCTTGAAGCCTTTGGCTGCACCCCTCCTCCCCTGTTTCTGACTTGCGGACCAGATGGGCCACGGGAAGGAATCACGTGCACGAGTGATAACCTTGTGAGACCTGCCTCCAAAGCCGTGTGCGTCTGGCACTATCCCCAGCCCTCCTCCCCACCACCAGCTCGGCGATCCTCTCCTCCCAAACTTCACGGGGAAAGGGGGAAGACAAGCCCTAATACACAAGTGGGAGAAACTTCAGAAGCTCTCGGGACTGGAGGTAACCCGCAACCCCGTGGCCCAGAGGCCGGGAAGTGGGGAGTTGGCAGAGTCGCTTCATGTGAGGAGAGACTTCGAGGACCTAGAATGACACTGAATCTGGGAACCTTCGCGCTGAAATCTCCAGGTCTCTTGGGAATGCAGGGACCACAACCTTTTTTCAAAGCCAAATTTCTCCTGATTAGCGAAACCAACGGGTATAGGGAACTTAGGAGAAAAGTTTTTTTTTTTAAGGAAAACAGCAGAGCTCTGTACCAGATTTTAGGGGGCATGTCCACTACCAAGGCGACCTCCTATCCTCCCTGCTCACCTAGCCACCCTATCCCTTTGCCACTCAAACAGTCCAGCATTATTTGGTCCCCTGCCCCAGTTCACTCCAGTGCACATCGGGGCCTGAAATCTAAATACTCATTTGATATAGTGCAATAATCCTTTTCTCATATTTGGTGGGAATGTTTTCCATATCCCAGTATTTGACAACATCGCCCTATAGGGACAGGTTTGTATTTATGTTGGTAAAATGTCCCCTGCCTCAAAGTCTATTGTAACCCAACACCTGACAACCCCGAGTCCCATTTCTGTTTGCAGAAAGGGTTTATTCAAGCACATAATGGGATCCCAGCAGAAAGCCTTTCAGAACAAGGGGCTATGGTAAACTTCACCACATGAACTCCGTTTCCAGGGCTATTAAGCTTTTAATTGGAAAATAGCAGAGGAAATTTCAAGGTGACTATAACGTGTTAGCAGTTAGTGTGGAGAAGAAAAGCCGGAGCGGGGATGAATGTAGAAAGCATATGGTCCGAATCACAGGAGGAGCAGCCTGCTTCTACTAAGTCCCCGCGGCTTAGACACTTATGGGAAAAATCATCAAAGAAACTGGAAAGGGAGGGGGAAGGATTACAAGTAAATATAACCGCACTAGACTGGATCCACTCGCGTTCTGCTCTAGGTGGGGGGGGGTCTACGCGCGCGCGCGTGCGCGCGTTTTCAAACCACAATTAACTAGAGTTGTTATAGGTATTAACAGCAAAAGGGTGAAAGTGTGTGTATGTGGTTCTCTTTCTCTTGGCGCACAATCTCATGGGGGGGTGTGTGTGTCCATATATATATGAAAGTTTGTAATGCAGGTGTCCTTGCTGAGAAACTGAGGATGTTCAGACTCCAAATCTAGAACTCCTGGTAGTTGCTTATCACCGCAAGCGGCACTTAATCAAAAGGACAGTTTCATATTGTCCCGGATGTATAATACATCAGGAAATTTTCTGCTTTGCTGCATTCTCATGGAAGGGGAGGTCAAGGTTCCTATTCCGCTGTTTAAAACTCGACCACTGTGACGCTGGAGGGTAGGGCCTACAAAAAGCCCTTTAAAAGCAGGAAAACGGGCTCCCTCTCCCCGGGCATGAACTTCTCAGCTCTCACCCTGTCCGTGCCTCTCGGCATCGCTCTCTGGCCAGCTTCATATTGAAAGAGGAGACAAATGTCTAGCGAGGCGGTGGAGAAGCCAGCAGTCACTTTCTTGAGGTGACAATAATGCCCTTGTCTCCCACAATTAAGTGAGAAGAGGCTCGTGTGCACGTCCACGGCATCCCCGAAGCCGCCCTCTGGGGAGCGGGACAGAGGGCGCAGACCGTGCGACCGGGAAGTGACATAGTCTAGCGGGCCGGGGACGCCGCTGAGCCCAAGGAAGATCCTGGACAGTCCCGACCCCACAACATTTGGCAGTGGGAGGCCTTTCGGAGCAAACGGGGGCCCAGAAAGCACAGGTGCTGCTGCTCGGCCCAGTGTATTCTAGAACTCTGGAAAACAACTCTGCTCTTAGGCCTGGTAGCAAGCGCTCCCACCTGTGCAGATTCCTCAGACACTGCCCAGACACAAGGCCGAGCTCGCCCCCATCTTTTAGGGTGGCCGCAGGGGTGTCTCTCCTACACTCTAACATCTGAGAAGCTCCTTGAGCAGCGACCTCCGCCCCGCTCTTTCAAGGGGAGGTCTGGAAAAGGGCACCCTCGGAGCGCTTCTGCCGGGCCTGGGCTGCCGAGCCACCGGGCGCAGATGATCGCTCCCTAATCAGGCCTTGGCCCGGGTGTACTTCTAGCGGAAGACTCGGCGCCCGGGGCTCATAGGCCGAGTCGCACACACCCCGCGGGGCAGCAGCGGGCGGGACTGAGGACGTCGGTCAGGTCCCTACACCCTTTTAGAAGAGAATCCCCGGGACAGCCGGCAAATCTCGTCTGCCTTCTGTGCCAAAGGAAAAATAAAAAGCACGTACCCTCCAAGGTGAAATCAGAAGAGCGCTGACCTTATAAGTTTTAAAATAATCTTTCCCATGAGACTTAAAAATTTAAAACAAAACCAAAAAAGGCCGACGAAATCACTTTAGGTAATTTAGAGAACCACTCAAAATACAAGACAGTTTCTTTTCCCCACTGTTTGCTCTTGGGGTGCTGGTGCACTTCTTCCCCAAGAAAAGGCCCCTTTCCAGAACTTTCTTCCTCTTCCCCACTTCCTCCGCAGTCCGGGAACAAAGCTCTGCCCCAGGGAATGTGGTCGGATGTGAGGGCTTCCGGAGAAGTCCCTTCTCGGTTCAAGAGGACCGGGAATAAAGATCGGAAACGGCCAGAGCTGCCCGCAACCCAGGGAAAGCTGAATACGAACTCCACGCACCGAGGCCACACTCGCGGGACCGACGTGGCAAGGCCTAGACGCTGTGCTGAGACTCGAAGGGTGCCCCACCCCAGGGGATCTAGGCCGAGACTCCCTGCTCCCTTTGCCCACACCAGAGACTCCTGGGCGGGGCGACTTCCGGCGCACTCGGGCTCCGCCCACCCAACGCCCCGCCCCGAGTCCTGCTTGCCAGGCCCATTCGCCCAGGACCCTCCCTAGCTGTCCCGACAGCAGCTTTAGATCTGCCGTAAAGTTTGCAGATATTTTTGCTGAGAGTTGAGGAAGACAACACTTCCGTGGGGGGGGAGAGGGATGAGGCGCCTTTTAATGATCTCGAGTCGTTGGCGGCTGAGCTTCACGGACGCCAGATTCTGGGCAAGCAGCACAGGTCTAAGGCCTGGTCCGCGTGCGTGTGCGTGTAGGGAGAAAGCGGGCGAAAGCCCCTCACAAGTTTCCAAAGCAAACCGCCAAGCGGGGCGGCAGCGTGCGGGGACGCCTCCGCAACCCCAACCCGTGGGGCGGGCAGGACCAAGCCCAGGAGCCAAGGAAAAATCCCCTTCCCTCGACAGGCCGCCCTCTGGGTTTCTTTGCGACGCGAAGCGCGTTCTGTAAAACGCTTTTAATACCACTTGGTGCCAAGCGTCAGGTGCGATGCAACCCACGTGTGCCTGTGAAGCCGGTTCAGCACTGCCGTTCCCGTGAAGCGGGGAGGGGCGCGATTTCTAAGCGTGGCAGCAGTCTAGTTCCCATGACGTGGGAGGGAGGCGGTGGTGCCGGCTCCTGCCCTTGACCGGAATTGCGGTCTCGTGCGTGGGCTTTGGGGAGTCTTCGCTGCAGGTGTATCAGGGATTGTGGCAGCCGGGAGACGAGTGTCTTCAAGCGCGCCCTGGGCCCCCGCAGACGGCCTTTTCAGAGGCCCTAGTTCCTCAGCGGGGCGTCCACTGTACACTAGTGGGGTGAGAGGCAGGGGCACCAGGGTGGGCTCGGGCCTGGGGGCTGCGTCAGCTGGAATTGGGTAAGGGTCGCCCTCACTCCCAGCCCCTGCGGGGAGCCGCAGACAGCCCTGGAGAGAGGCATGAGCTTCTTTTCCCCACAGCCTCAAGTCGTCTGGCGGCAGCTTGCCCAGAACCCGGGAGGGGAAGGCCCTGCGCGCCTGCCTTGGTTTCCCCGCGCAGGAGCAGTGACGCCCGACACGCCCACAGCAGCGCGCACTCACACACTGCGCCGCTGCCGCCCCAGAGCACGCGGCCTCGCTGTTACAGGTTTCCGTTCAAGGGCGCAGAGCTCGGAGAAACTGACCGCCCCTCAAATGTGGGCATTAAAATACGGTTAAAATCCAGTAGCCAAAACTTGATGTGTGCGCTCTACCTTGTGTTCAGAATGTGTTAAGTTCCTTACGCAGTCCGCCTGGGCCAGGCCCTGGGCTTGCCTGGCGCCCTCCTCCCTAACGATCAGTAAGCCCCTGTGAAGGAAACTTGAGCATCGCAGGGCCGCTCCACCCCACCAGGCGCAGGAGGAAGGCCCAGGTCCCTATTTTACGGGGCTATTCGGTGGAGAAGAACCTTCCCGAGACTCCACTTGGACTCGTCGCGGTCTTAGGGCCTGGCCCTCGCGCTGGGAGTGGCCTTTCCGGGGCTGGATCGTTGATCGGCGCTCCCACGCGGCGGCTGCCCAGATTGAGAACCCAACTCAGCGATAGAAGCAGGTGGACCCTCGGGGCGTTGACCAGAGGGGTCTCTCCGAAGGGCTGGCGCTGCCCACGCGATAGTGTGGTTCCCAAAGCTCAAGCGGCAGGAGTTGAGCTCCGGGCGGCAGTTTGCGCACAGCCTTGGAAACCAGAACCTGGTGCCTTGGGGGCACCAGGGGCCCGGAGGGTGCTCAGTCGAGTCAGAGCGTGCTGGCACGCTTATCCGGCCTCCGTCATGGCTTTCCAGAAATGTAGGGGCACTGAAGGGGGCTGTGCTGGGAGAGGGCGCGCGCGCGCGCGCGCGCGCGCGCACCACCCCCCCCCAGTTTCGGGGCCATCGGCCGAGTTTCTCC